TTCCATGAATAAAATATTAATTGAAAAAACAAAAAATTAAATGAAAATAAAGAGAATGCAAAGGAGTGGGACGACTCCAAGAATTAACAATTAATTAAAAAACAATAAATGGAATAAAAATAAAGAGAAGGCAAAAGGAGTGGGAGCTTGGCAGGAGGTGGGCCATCCATTGCAATAAGGTTATCACACAAGTAAGTGTTTTCCACGCGCTGCAAACTAAAGGAGGAGATGTGAGCCGTGACTTTCAATACTCTCATCAAATCTTTTTATTTCATTTTTTAAATAAATTTATTACAGCTTTTCTGGAGGTTTGGAAATGGAAACCGGGTTTGAATTTCTAAACCTTAAACCTGTCCACTTTAGTGGTAAACCTTAAAGTTTACAATTTTAAACCTCTCCCAAAACCTGTTGTCAAAGATGCTCTAAGCAAACCTAATCTAATTACCTCAACAAGAAAGAGTGCCATGCTGCCATGTGGATAAAATACCTCCAGCTCAATCCTTTACTTTCCTAACATATTTTGTCTCCTTGCATGGTGTACGATGCATGAGTTGGTTCTCTTTTTAACCATTGATCCTCTTGTGACCGTTGGATCATTTTAGAGGATTCTAGATCATATGATAACCCTAGAAAGTAGCCTATATATATTGTAGTAGACTCAGCCTGCATGATAGCAACTTTCATTTAATGCATTCGAATTGTTGAACTTGTGATTTTCTTGTTCAAGATATTTCTTGCTTTCACTTTAAGTCATGGCAGCATCAATATCCTTTTAGTAGTCATCAGTTTTGCTATGGAGCCATCGGATGGCTAGGCTTATGAAGGCATCCACACTTATTCACCAATAGTGTATTGACATGTGTCCTGCAATAAATACACTTTGGACAGGTGTCAATACATTAAGTAGTGGATGGCTCCATAAGAAAACCATCCGATGGCTCCATAGAATTTTTTTTGGTTTTATATGGCATAAAGAAACCCACAGTTACATGCATGCATAGAAACTGATCCGCCTAAACAAAAGTTGCTATTTTCAATTTTATATAGCATGTTGAGAGTGGCAATTGAACTTGTAGGAAAACACAGAAAAAAGAAAAAAAAAAAAGGATTTGAAACAAGTCAACTTTTGTTTCCATGAATTATTAATCCTTTCTATATTTGACTGTGGCATGTTTTAACTTTCGTTGAGCTAATAAAACAAATGAAAAAAAAAAAAGACAAAACAAGGATTTGCATCTAGTCAAGTAGTCAGACTACTTTTGTTGTTTCCATGCATTAATAATCCTATCTTTGAGTGTGGCAAGATTCAAAACTTTCTACTCAAAAGTTAAAGATTACTCAGAACGAGTTATATATGGTAAACCTTGCTATTAAGTATAATAGTATTCTTAGTAAAAATCTTGTCTCAATTTTTTCATATACTTTATTGTTTTTCCAAAATTATGAAGCATGGTCAAA